TAGTAATAATTAATAAATAAAGTACAAAATTGTATAAACGCAATTCGTGAAAATATTCAATAATAGTGAGCAAAATAAGTGAAGGGCAATATAGTACTTTCAGGAGAGACATATAAAAACCGGTTATCTTCGAATGAATTAAAATGTTCCGAAAATCAGAAAACAATACCCGGATATAATTAACTTCCTTGTGGCTAAGTAAGATTAAGCGAATAATTGGAAACGGCCATTTGATTTTGTCTATATCAGTCATTTCGCAAGAGTCCTTATGGCGGGGTCAGCCGATTCCAATTTACAAAATAAGGCCCCATTTAAAGAATAAGACCCAATAAACTTACTAGTTTTAATCATAAAACAACACCGCGGACGACCTCTGACTCAAATTTGCCGATGACCTTCCTAGTCCAGCGGACACTCTTTTCATCACAAGAACTTCAACGGACGTCGACGCATTATATCAGATGCAGTATCAGGAAAAGCATGGAAATTGGCAAGTCTCCCGATCCGCGTAGTAACTTCTATGAATAAGCGTATTCAAACTCGCCACACGGCGAGAGTATTGCCATATGCACCTGCCACCCGAGAATCCGAGTAGGCGGAAATATATATGCTATGCCGTCATGCGCTGCAAGGGGCGACCGCGCTTGCTCATCCATAAATCGTTCTGCATAAATCGGCAAAGCCCGCCCCCAGAGGAAGCAATCGCTGGTGCCACAGTGGTCCGACATCGAAAAGACGAGGAAATACCATTAAAGTATCGAAGAAACAGCGAATGAATATGGCGAATTAATTCTACCAAGTTCATAATACACATTTTCTTCAAAACCTGCCTCTACATGATTCCCAATCACCTTGTAGCACTTTCAGTAGCTAATTCCTTCCCAGTCGTCTCTCCCTGCACGAATGTTGGATGGTGAATGCCGGCATGCCAGGGGGAGTAAACACAGTAATGAGCCTGCGGCTACTACGGGAGCGCCACCTTGGAACTTCCAAACTTTCCTATCTAAAGTAGGTGTCAAGCATCGCCACGGGCTTACAAGCCAGTAGCGGAAAGGACAGTTCTCGGTAGCAATCGGCTAACGAGCCACGGCAGAACTACGGAGAGGAGTCTAGGGTCAAGGTTCCTTACGATGTAAAACGACTGGCATGAGGGGAGGGAGCGACAGCTACACGCGACTGACCGACAGAGGGTCCTTCACTTAATTTGTTCACTATTATTGAATATTTTCACGTATTACTTTTATACAATTTTGTACGTTATTTATTCATTATTACTATAGGTGTTGTGGTAGGATATCTTTGGCATTTTTAAAATAATTAAAGATGTTGTCATTGCCTGATGCCAACTGATGATGATGGCTAAGCCATCGAAAGCTGCTTTTGAATTAAAAAACATTGTTGGCAATGACAACATCTTTAATCATTATTACTAATTTCATCACCAGTGAATCGATTGATGTCATCACAGAGCCTCTGTCTGGGACGTCGTAGTTCAAGTCCCGATGGTGGCAGGATTTTCGACACTAGTTAGAGCGCTAGGTTGAATTCTGACGCTGCCTGGACGGGAATTCTATCGGTCAGCGATTCTGGACAGTAGTTTTCCGCTGTTTCCCCCATCAATAACAGGCGAATGTCTGAACAGAACCCGAACAAACGGGCCACGGACAGCGTGCGATCAATCCTCCTCCTTCCTTGCCCTGTCCACACCCTTTCCTTAGACCTGTCCCCGACCCTGTCCTCACCCTTTGCACTACACTGCCACACATATCGGTATATAGCTTGTCCCGGCTGGGATGGTGTGCCTCTGATGGGACATACCTGGATGAGGAAACACTCACGAGCCGTCGTGTATGTTGGTGCAGTATCTCACCATTCAGCAAAGGAACACCGTTAACTGCCGTGATAAAACATGCACTACACCTACGGTACTAAGAAATACGCTGTTAACAGGCCTGGAAACACGAAATAATCAATGAATATACCCGAAAGGTTAAGTGACATTAAAATGCAAAACGATGACACAGGTAAGAAGCCAAACCCAAAGACCCCGATACATGTTTCTCGAGTCTTCGTAGAAATTAATTCAATTCAATTAATCAATCCTCCAGTGTTTTTCGCTATTAAAAAAACTGTAGGGTGGTGTCGCAATTCGGGCTTCAGATTGGGTTCACCGCGTCGACATACATAGAGAAAAGAATTTCAAGTCTAACGCAAGCGCTAACAACTTTTTCTCGTGTACCTGTGTGATCAACACCGCGTCAAAATCTCTCCATTTGCCCCAACTGTTTGCTCGCGTCTTCCTGAAGACGCACTGTGCCGGCGTGAGTCAGCGCGCTTGCACCGCGTGGTGCATCGCGAAGGCGGGCGCGGGGGCGGGCGCGGGACGCTCGTAAAGCTGGCGTGGGTGGGCGAACACGCGTGTCGGCGCGCATTCATAGCGGGGGCGGCGCCGCGCCGCACAGGGATCTAAGTCACGTACGCGTGACGCCGGCTTCACCATTTGCACGCCATTCGCCGGCACGTGCCGGCGTCAATTGGCTGGCGGGGCGTTCGTCATTCGCCGTGATGAAACTTTACTTGCAGTCACTTGTAACGACGGGTGATTGTTCTGTGACATCTGAGTAGTTTCTGCTTGACATTTATTGCATTTCGCCGTTGTGTTCAGGTCTCCCCCTCTCCCCTCGCCCTCCCCTCTCTCCCCCTCTCTCTCTGTATATATATAAATATATAATATTATATATATATATATATATATATATATATGTATATATAGCACCTTGGGAAGAGGAGGGCGTCAAGTACAAAAATTAATAAAATTTCTAGTTTATTAATTTAGTATTCAAATTAATAAAAATCTAGTACAGTAAATTTTTGACAAACTCATTTGTTCTTTCCAGACTAGGCAAATTGAATGGTATTCTTTGTTAATATTATTCCAGGTTCGTAATATATACAATTAGTATTTAACAGTTTTTGCGCTTGTGGCCAAATTGAAGTAAAACTTCATAAAGTGTTGCTGTAATGCCCAGGTGCTTTCTGATTTAAAAAAATCATTTTTGTGTTAAATCAAACAAAATATTGCTCACAACTTCCGGCAATATACAGAACAAGTGTAGTTTTCCCTCTAGAAAATGGTATTATTAACTCAAATTATGAAAATTTCGCATTTGTTGCCCTCTTCTTCCCGAGGTCCCATATGAAGATAGAAGCGGTATGATTAGGGTAAGAAAACGAAAAAAACAAACATCATGTAAAAAACTGATTCAACTCCTTTTTTAATATTTTTTCTTCTCTGTATTTTTATCCTCAAATTTACAGTATTTACAGTATCTTGCGAACGTCTGTTTCATATTTTTGATATATGAGTGTTGTATAATTTTATATAAAAGGATTCGATCTATTGTGAATTACAACCCTTAGCTCTGTGCTTACAGGGAACCTACACCGACAATGGGATGCTGTATTTTCTGAGAAGTATCCGAGAATGCTCATTTTGAATACTGGTTTTCAGTAACACATTTTTCATGGAATTTTCATGGATGTTTTCTGCTGACGCCCTGGTGATCCGAATATTTTGAAAAAGGTTATAATACGATTCAAATAATACCGAAAAAAAAGTGATAATACCGTACAACAAAATCAATAATATTTACGCACACTGAAATATGGAAAATGAAATTTGCTCCTCTCCGGTTGTTTCATAAAACCATTGTCTTTATTTATAAGAATTATCTGCTATCTATTTTTCGGATATCAACGAAGATACGTTTCCTGTCTGTTTCTTCTGCTGGCATTGCCCGAGAATAAAGGTGATCTCAATAGAAACCGCTGAGTGCACGGAGTGGGCGATTCTGCAAAACACGGGGCGTTGCATGCCAACGGACTGGTTTACTGCGAATGGGCTGTTTATTTCTTTTCAGAGGAGAGACATTCATTCGCATGACGTAATCAGCTACATGATACATTTCTACGAATAACATAAGTTCAGTTGTTCGCAATGAGTAAAATGAAGTATTCCTACACTCCACCTTATCGAATCAATTGTACAAAATTAAAACACAGCATATAATGAAGTCGAGACATCTCAGGTGTACGATGACAAATTGCGTATTCATTTTGAAGAATGAATAAATATGATTCGTAATAATAAGTTGTAAAGAATGAGTTTAAGACAAATATTAATTGAGGTTATAATCAGTTCCTTCCTTTTGACGAGGTTAGAAAATTTAAAAATTTAAAAAGTAATGATGATAATACTAAAAACTTTTAAAACTAAGCGCGTCGAGCAGAAAGTAAGACGAAAAGTTTACCGAATTTCCTGAAAAACATTATAATACACTACATTATAATACAGTTACACTATGTTGCACTATTTTTGCACATAATCACCACAAGAATTAACACAATTCTCATACCGCTGGATCAACATTTGTATCCCAGTGTCCTACAAGCCTGCCGTCTGAGGACAAGAAGTAGGTTTTGGCAGGTATCTGCAAGAGATACATCTATAAAGTGGTATAGGAAAACATCTACAGTAGACTCTCGTTAGCACGAACTCGCTTAACACAAAATTCTTCGTCAACAAAAAGAAATTTGGGCCCGCCAAAGAAAAGTAGCATTCAGAATATATACATATATATATATATACATATATATACATATATATATATACATATATATACATATATATATATACACATACATATATATACATATATATATATATATACATATATATATACATATATATATATATACATATATATATACATATATATATATATACATATATATATATATATATACATATATATATACATATACATATATATATACACATATATATATACACATATATACATATATATACACATATATACATATATATATATATATATATATATATATCGGATAACATGAATATTTGTAACAAGAACACCCTTGAGTTCGTGTCCACGGGGGTGTTACCGTGAAACCCAATCGTGTGGCGCGTGACTCACGTGGCCCTCGAAGACGGCGCCGGGCGAGAAGACGAGCGGGCGCGTGCCGAGGAAGCGCATGCGCACGGCGGCGCCCACGAGGCGCGTGTGCGTGAAGCCGCGCGCCGTCTCGCCGAAGAAGGAGTCGGTGACGGCCGCGTCCAGCCGCAGCTCCACGTCCTCCAGCGACGCGCCGCCCGCGCGACCGCCCTCCGGCGCGCTCGCCAGCGCAGACGTCACCAGCTCCAGCGGCACCGACACCGTGTAGCACCCGTTCGCCTGCCAAGCACACGTACAGCGTACACGTACAGCGCCGCACTCACGTGCCACGCATACGCACACGCACACGCACACGCACAGCGCGCTGTGTACCAACGCGGGCTTCGCAACCCCCTAAATATACTCATGTTTTTACGATATTGCCTTCGATGTTGATAGCATGATGTGGTTGATGCACTCTTCCCAACGTACCTGAATCGAAAGGCTCGTGGTTAAGAGGAAAATATGAAAACAGTTGAATGATCTTCCTGTTCTCTTATTGAAAGAAATATGAAAAGACACACCTAGTCAAGTTACCATCTAATGAATTAGTAAATAATCTCGCCAGCGTCGACGCCACCAGCTCCAACGGCACCGACACCGTGTAGCACCCGTCCGCCTGCCAAGCACACGTACAGCGCGCTGTGGTCTAACGCAGGCTTCGCAACCCCCTAAATATACACATTTGTTTATTGATACGTTATTGCTTCAACCCCCCTAAATATACTCTTTTTTTACGATATTGCCCTCCATGCGGGGGTTGATGTTCACTGCCTAACTTACCTGGATCAAAAGGCTCGTGGTTAAGAGGAAAATATAAAAACAGTTGAATGATGCTACCTGTTCTTTTATGGAGGGAAATATGAAAAGACACACCTAGTCAAGTTCACATCTAATGAACTAATGAATTAGAAAATAATAAATGTGAATCAATAAAATTAGGTAAAAAATAAAATGATGTATGAATCCGTGTCTTAAGTGGTTCTAATGCCCTCGGTGTATAAATAACTATCTCAATAAACAAATATTCTTAATATTACCCTTCGTGTTGCTCATGGACTGCGCGCTAGTTTTCAGCGGGAGGGTTCGATTCCTGGCCGGGGCAAAAATGAAGCCGTAGCTTTCTAATACAAATCATTTAAGTTGCTCTAGCTGTGTGACGAAAGAAAGCTCCGGCAGGCCAAGTAAGCCTCGTACGGTGATGGTACCTCATGTTCGCCTCATGCCTCTCTTTTCCCCGGGCGTGGATAGCAAATAAAAACAGGGCTCAGGCCTGGGAACACAGATAGCGGGTAAAAGTCACATTAATCTGACCTTAAAATGCCAAATGCAAGTTTTGGCCGCTTAAATGTTACGTAAGTAATACACCATTATGAGGAGAGGTTACCCACAACAGTGCGATTAAATTAGATCAAATTATCGTTCCTAACAGTGAATTGGCTTTAAAGTATTAAGAGGAAAATGATAGTAAATGTTAATTCGTCATAATACTCATTTATTGTATTACGACATGCATTGGGATCTTCGTGTAAGATTGATAACTTCAGTTCATTTACGGGAGTTGAAAGAAATACCTTTCGAAATGCACTTGATTTCACATTACTATTTTCCGCAAGTGTATTTTCACCTCCGCTGCCAGTGGCTTGCTCCCGCATATAAAGTGTACCAGTAATTTATTGTGCGATGTACAAAGGAAATTTTACCACAATCAAACAGCTGCGTTTGTGCTTTGATATCAGCACTGAGCAAATTTGCATTTGATGTAGAATATGATACTATGTTGAGCAAGTTTCATTTGAAATAAAATACGACACTATCTTTACTAAAGATAACAGTACTATTGAGTGTTCGAGGTCTTTATGTACCTGTGTAAATATCGGATGAACCACTCTAGTGGATATAGTTGTACAAACAAAACAACGAAATAAATGCACGAAGTATGAACTATGCAGGGTCAAAATCAAACATGAAAAACACGTTTCTCATTGTATCTCTGCAACAGATGGCCGTAGGAGGCTGATTTTTTTGCGAATCTACGACATTTTGTATTCTCCTTCATGCGTATATTGCAATTATCCACTTGGTTTGGGGACATTTTTCAACCCCCTTATTCGGCTATATCCTTTGTCTCCAGCGTGTATATTATGTTGCCTCGGAGAAGCAGTCACTTTCAAGAACGACCCCTACTACTGACTGTGAGTCAACAGTACTCGTTTTAAGTTTATTTTGCTGCGCACCACGGGAATAAATGGCTACATTTATAGCCCCCTTGGCACCTGTTATGCGCTTGCCACGACAAACTCTGAACGCGCTGGTTTTCCCAGACCACTCAACATAACAGCTGTTTCTTCGAGAGCTTTTACCTTGTCAGGAGCGACCGAAAAAGGATTGGAGAGCTTGACTTACTGACGCTTTGGAAGATGTAGTTGGAAATGTAATACCAATAATTTTTTAATGATATTTTGTTTTGACTGCTTTAGATTATCACAGTCCAGTGTCATAGAAATGACTAAGCAGTTGTGGCGAAGATTAATACAACAAAGATTTTACAATTATGAAACTTAATAAACTGTGCCAATCAACGATCGACTCATCACTGTCTGGAGACAATAGTAGGTAGAAACTCCGAGATTTCAACATCACATCGCTACGTTTATCTATTGACATTTCATTGTTCTTTTCCAAACACTTCGAGGATACAAAAAATACGGGAATAAAAAAAAAGACAAAAAATAGGAAGAAACCAAACTAATACAGGGAGGTAAAGGGATAAGAAGAATTATAATCAGAGAGATTAGGAAAGGAGGTCTGAGAGGGAGAGGTAATAGGTAACATGAAAAAAATGTAAGACTGAAAGGAGAGATAGAGATAAAATGAGAGAAAATACGTAGCAATTTAAAGATAGAACGATAGGATGAGGAAATAAAAGGAAGAAAATAGGGGAGGAGAACAATACGAGAATAAAAAAAAACACATAACACATGAGAAAATTACCAGGTACTCGGAGGAGAGGGCGTTAATGAGTTACAGGCGTTAGTCATTAAAGCTTGGCACTTATAGGCAAGATCGCTTGACGAGTCTTGCGCAGGTTGTAAATCTGTCTCCGTCGCTTTGTTTTCCTTTCTGAGAACAATGGAGTAGGTAGTACCGACGAGAGATTTACAACTGGCGTAATGCTCATCACTGTGACTGACTCATGGGTGTGTATATTTTTACGCGTTTTAAAGGAACTGGAGATGTGTTATAGAACGAAGAATATATACACAGTGTCAGAGAAAATTTACAAAAATCAAGGCAGGGCAGGAGGGATAGAATTATAATAAGTTTTAGGGAGTTAGATATTAAGCGAGAGTGAGAAGAGAGGGAAGGAGTTGCCGACGAGAAGAGCACAGCACGGTGAGAGCGGCGGGGCGTACCATATATGTGTTAATTGTATTCTCAAGCTTACATGACTAGCCATCGCGCGGGCTAGAGCTGCAACCCTTTGAGCTAGTCCCCAGGCGCACGTCCCTTCACCAACTCCTTGGGTCAGTTGACTGCTGCTAATTGAACCACTATAGTATACCTTTCCTCTTAACCAGATACTTCAATATAATGTGTTTCATTTTACAAAACCATCTATATATTTACAGCTGAAATTTTGCAAGGGTACATGAAAGTAACTAGGTAAGACAGTTAAAGTATGTGCTGTAGATGTCCAATTCTACCATTTACACACACACAAACACACACACAAACACAAACACACAAACACACACACACAAACCCACACACACTAACCCACACACACAAACCCACACACACAAACACACACGCATAAATATACACAGGAATATGAGGTGGCGGTGCGTACCTTGAGGAAGGCGCTGTGCTCCCAGACGGGCACGAGCGGCGGGGTGGGCGGCGGGCGCGCGGGCTGGGCGTGGCCGGGCGGCGGGCGGCGGCGGCGCGCGCCCAGGGCGAAGGAGACGTTGCCGCGGGCCGCGCGCTGCAGGTCGGAGCGCGCGCACGCGGTGGCGAGCAGGTCGCCCGTGGAGACGGGCAGGTAGGCCGGCGCGTGCACGTGCACCTCGAACAGCGGCCGGAAGTAGGTCTCGACGCGCAGCGGCTGCTCCTGCAGCTGGCCGTGCGCGCGCACGCGGATGCGCCACTCGCCGTCCTTGGGCATGCGCGGAAGCCGGAAGCGGTGGCTGATCACCCCTGCGCACGCACCACGCCCACTCCCAGTCACTCCCTTCGGGGACGCGCGGGTTCCTCTCACTCGAAATACCACTTACCTTATAACTTATCCTGAGATTTAGAACAAATGTCTAATTAGCTCCTATACAAAGGTTGCCTTTTATGTTTCGGGATTTGGCAAACCTGGTGTTGCAATCTGGCAACTGACTGCTCGTAGGAAGTCAGTAGCGGCGATGGTGTAACGGTTAGCGTATCCGACTAATATACACAAGTTCGCGAGTTCAAGCCCGATCAAAGCCGTGGATTTTTTGGGCGAAAAAATCCTTCGTACGCCTTCCTTCGGAGGGGAAGTAAAGCCGGCTGTCCCATGTTAGTAGATTTACTTGCATGTAAAAGATCCTAAATGACGCCTCTGAGATAAATTCAAATTGCTTGTTTCGTCGCCCAAGAAATACCTCTTTCCTACATTTCTCCGCTAGTTGGTGAAAAGCGTAGTGAAATTTGCGTGGTCAGACGGAAGAGCGAGCCTGATGGTCCGAGTCTCGCCGCGTAAAATAAGGCATAGGTTCAATTTAATTGTAGAAAATAAATGCACATGTTTACGAATCATGAAAAAATAGATCTACTGAATGCATCTAATAATGCCTACATGTCCCATCGGTTCATGCCTATATTTTGCCCAAAATAAGTAATTTTGAAGAATTGTCATATTTTACTAATTTTTTAGTTTTTAATTCCGAAACAAATATTTTGCCGAACTTTCCGAAACGCAAATTGTTTCTGATCAAATAAAGAATGGACTACGAAACAAAAACCTCACACAACACGCCGAACATAAGGAGCTTTGCAAGACAATATAAAGAGGATTTTTCACGCCGTCTCCAATCAGCACTTGTACCCATTTCCGTTGCAGCTGCACTGTTCACACGTCGAGGATGAAAAAAATGTGAAAGAATAAATTAAACGAAAAAATGAAAGTGATTAAAATAACAAACTTGAAGTCACTCTGGATTCAAAGAAAGCGTAAGTAAATAAATGAATGAATGAAAGAATGCGTCCATGTAAATAAGCATGAATCAACGAGGGAAGTCAAAAAGATTAACAAGAAAACAGAGATAATGATATTAGCAAATTGAAATCGCCCAATAACAATAAGCTACTTAATTTTTTGTGCGTATTTTCAAAAATATTAAAAAGACTTCTATTTACAAAAGGGAAGTTTTCTCTGGAAAAAGCAAACAAAGGACTTCAAAATGCCAACATTAGTTTAAAAATCGAAATTTATGGGAACAGCTATGGATAAAATTAAATAGTTATTCGAATATTGTTTAGATCTTGAGGTCACCATAAAATGTTTCTCTCAATTACTTTCTCAGGGAATACATGACATTTCCCTGAACTGCGTATCTTCGTACGTTCAACATACTACATAATGACTGGCATGAAAGGATAAGGCTCGTAATTCCGAACCCCACATTCGAAGCATGCGTCCCAGCCCGGCACAGTACATTAACGAACAGATTAATCTGCACGCCGCAGCGGAGGTTGCGGGAAGCTCACCGTTGTTGTTGTACATGGAGACCCAGCGCCGCATGATGAGGCCGTCGGGGTCCTGCAACAACACAGCGACGGCGTGAGCGAGCGGTGGGAGAGGCGACGCGGCGTGGCGGCGCGCCCGGCCCGCGACGCACCCGGCTGCGCACGTGGCGCGCGGGTTGCCTACGCGCGCCGCGGGCTCCTCGCTCTGGGCACCCCGCAAGGGCCTTCACACGCTCCGAGGTTAAACATTTACGCCCTCGTGAGTATTTTCGAATTTATTCTTAAATAATGTTATTCATTGATCGCTTGCGGCTAAGGTTAAAAAACTAGATACTTCCGAACTAATCTAAATCTACTTTGTCTTACATCCTAACTTTTTCATGTAACATATGAACATTTCGCATTAATTTATTTACATTGATCAACCTGCGGCCTAGCTCACAAACTAGATACTTACTTTGTCATAATGATAACTTATTGAAACACCCAACACTATTTACACGTGAACAAGGAAATAATATTTTTTTGTCAAATGTTGGTTATATATGTAATATATGTAACAATTATAATTATATTAACAAGTATATATGTTATAAATGTAACAAATAAACTGAATTAATATTACAATTGAGTTACTGATAAGTGCGACAGGAGAGCGCGCTAAATGTATTAATAATGGTATTATGTATAAACATTTTCGCCCTTGTGAGTATTTTGGAATTTATTCTTAAATCATGTTCTACATTGATCGCTTACGTCTAGGGTTACAAACTAGATACTTATGAACTAATCTAAATCTACTTTGTTTTACATCGTAACTTATTCATGTAACCTTTAATGCACATTTCGTATTTATTCTTAAATCCTATTTACATTGATCAATCTGAGGCCTAGCTAACAAACTAGGAACTTTGATGTGAACTTAGATGTGAACTTTGTCCAACATGATAATTTATTGAAACACCCAACACTATTTACATACGAACAAGAAAAGAATATTTTTGTCAAATGATTATATATGTAATATATGTAACAATAATCATTATATTAACAATCATTATATTAACAATCATTATATTAACAATTATTATATTAACAATTATATATATGTTATTATGTAAGAAGTCGACTGAATTAATATTACAATTAAGTTACTGATAAATGCGCAAGGAGAGCACGCTAAATGTATTGTAACGTTTCTCGTGGTGAATTAAAACCAACACAATATTTTAAACAAAAAAGGTTTATTCGTGAACAATTATACACTAAAATCTACTTGGTCTATTTACAGATAT